ATTACAGAAGGCAGGGTAGAGAGTGAAATGGGTAGGGATGGGGAAACAAAATGAAATCTGTGTTAGTGAAATGGACTTTCCAAAGGGATTGTCCCACTTGATGCTGCAAGGTGAGGTTTTTGCTGCTGTTGCTGCTGCTGCTCTTGTCCGTAAGTTAGAATTCTAGAACTTTCCCTGTGTTTCCCATACAACAGACATAGCATATACTGCTGCAATGAGCCATGCGGTACAGGTCTACGGTTAAGAGTGTTTCATGCATCTTCGTAAGCATCTGAGTGCTAGGGAAAGCCTTTGCTAATGGGGGGAAATATGCTTTAAGACTCAAAATTGCAGCATTATATAATAGGGTTCACATATCAAAATTTCATTATTCTACCTGGCCAGTGTGGTTCAGTGGTTGAGCATCGACCTATGAACCAGAAGGTCATGGTTGGATTCTCAGTCAGGCCACATGCCTGGGTTGTGGGCTCGATCCCAGTCTGGGGTGTGCAGGAGGCAACCGTTCAACGTTCTCTCTCATCGTTGATGTTGCTATCCCTCCCTCTCCCTGCCTCTCTGAAATCAATAAAAAACATTTTTTTAGAAACTTCATTATTCTATTTTTCCTGCTCTTTATTTGTGAGAGTGTTGCTTTTAAGTTCTGGTTTTCTAATTATTCCTATGTGAATGTCTGTTTGAAAAGCTGAGGTGCTTCTTGTCACATTACAGATATTATTAAGCTTATTGGGGTTCCCTTAGTGGGAACCAGGTAATCTGAACTGCACTCCTACATTGGCCTCCCTTTGCGACAGATTTTATTTCCCAGTTCCTTTGTATCAGTGATACTGTTTATAATGTCAGCCATTTCATGCCTATTATTCATAGCAGTGGAATATTGTCCTACTATCCTTACTAATGTATTGCTTTATAAATACAGAAATGGCGAGAGTGTGTCCCAGCATTTTGGAGAGGAATGGGAGCTAGCCACCCCCATTAACGTAGTCTCACTTGTATCGGGAATGTTTACAGTGTCAGTGTGGTGACCACAGCCAGTTTTCAAGTCGGTTTGAAAGATTCCTCAGCTATTAGTTTTGGGTTAATAAATAGTTTCTTTAAAAATAAAGGCCAGAGTACGAGGGCATGAGACAGTATATCTGTTTATGGGGGTAGTCCAATAGGTTTCAAATGCATTTTCAGAGCAGATTTTACCAGAATGAAATTGAGGCTCTTGAAAGGGTGACTGCAGTCAATATGATCAACGGAAACGGGCTGTGAGTTCAGTGTCTGGGGAGAACCTATGGTACTAGGGCTGCTGTTGACGGCCGTGTGAAAAATATCCTGCCCGGCCATAAAACTGTGCTGGGCTATGACAGCTATAATTTTCTTCTTCTGATCTTTCACACTGTCTCTTCATTCATAGCAGGTCATAAACTTTACAGAGTATAACCTTTTATATGGCGCACTGAGAGAGGAAAAAATGCCTTTGAGGTAATTTTCATAAAACATTTAAATTTATGTTCTAAATGTATTTGATAGGGAGTGAATTGTAGTTTCATTTGATAGTGGTGTTGATTTGGACTTTGTTTTCTACACTCACTATTGTTATACCTTATTAAAATACAAATGACAGCTAAAATATCTTTTCTCTTTAGATAAAATGAAAATTTCTGACTGTACTCAATAATATGTTAAAATCATCCTAAATGTAATTACTAAGTACCATAAAATATCTCTACTCTTATAAATGAATACCAAGCTTTATTAAAATCAATCATTCTCAATCTTTTCCTTACCCAGTACATCTGGCAGATATGACCTGCCCTGTACACTGACTGGGGAGAATACAGCCAACCTTTTATCACTGCTGTACAGGTTGAAAAGGCCTGCCTGGTGATTCCATATGCCCCTCCAACTCCCTCTCTCTACCATCATACATGACATTGAAAATCACTGATTTAAATGATGTCAAAATAGTCATGGGAGGAGAGTGGGAACAGCGAACTCATTTCAAGTTGAAATTTGGTACTCCTTTAACTCTCTGTGCTGAGATGACACAGATTTGATAGATGGGAAATATCAGGAGCTGAATGCCTTATGGCTCGATTGCATGAAGATAATGAGTTTTACAACTGTTCCCTGCCAATAACATTAGCTTAAATGAGCCAGGAGTCAGTCATTTCAGGCCATTGTAAGGAGATGAGTGATCTGATGAGAAAGTGGAACTTGGTTTATGGTCAAGGAATGGGTTTGCATTCTGCAAATGTAAGAAACATTCAATCAAACCTGTGAAAAAATTTTTGTGAGTTTATTTGAGCTAAACTGTTAACAAATGCCAGGAAGCAGAATCTCAACAGATTGAGATAACGCTCTGGAAAATGGCATTTTTACACCTTGTTTTTTACATTACAATCAAAAGAGGAGATGTAAGTGGGCTACATGAAATCCCTTGGAGATAGATTAGGGAGAAAGCAAAGTAGGGGAAAGCACTGGGGTTGGATAAAAAGTAAAATGATAGACACATACTTCTTTTACTTAGGTTGGTGCAGGATAGTTTAAAGTCAACAATTAGGTCAATAGCAATGAGGGGATTTGTGGACTCCACAGAAGGTTGCCTGTGCTTTGAGGGGTCCAAAATAAAGAAAATTACTTCGACATTCCAACAATATGTTATCATAGATGCAAAAAGAGAATAGACAGGCCCAGTTAAGAGCTTCGTCAGGGAAGATACCAGTCTAGGACATGACTACCCACCATAAATGGCTTTTTAGTTTAAAAAAAGTTAATTTCAGGCCATCCTTTGTGGTTACTTTAGGTCTCTGAGTTTGCAAGGCTGCCATGCAGGCTTTCCTTGAGCTAGTCAAGTTAGCATGTAGCCCCTTTTTGTTCACATGTTTATGATTTCTATTTTAGGGGAGTCTGATTTCAGTCCAGATTTAACCTGCTTGGATAATGTAAAACAAAAGAAGTTTCTCTGATTACAAATTACTTGCTTTTTTTAAAATATATTTTTTATTGATTTCAGAGAGGGAGAGAGAGTTAGAAACATCAATGATGATAGAGAATCAGTGATTGACTGCCTCCTGCACACCCCCTACTGAGAATCAAGCCTTCAACCCGGGCATGTGCCCTTGACTGGAATCGAACCTGGGACCTTTCATTCCACAGGCCAACGCTCTATCCATTGAGCCAAACGGGCTAGGGCACAAATTACTTGCTTTAATAGCTTATTTAATAAATAGTAATCAAAGGCCCACAATACCTTGTATTGGACCTCAGAGATGCAGTGGGGGAAGAAAGAAAGACCATCACCCCTGTCTCTATGGCAGTCTAGGGCAGAGGTCACAAATCCAATATCCTATCACGTGTTTATTTTACAGTAAAAACAAACAAAAGTTTCAGAAATCCTACTTAATGTTAATATTTGTTTAGCAATTAAGGATCTGATTTTATTGTTTTCTTTTTTAGGTCAGGAGCCTACCCTAGACCAGACCCCGATTTCTAACAGAACTAGTTCTAATTTCTGTTTTTTAGTTAGTCAACTCTTCCTTTCTACTGCAAATTTATTTTATAAGATGAACCTAGAGAAACATTCCAAATGAGAATGTCCTAACCAGTGTCTTTCCAAAGGCAATCTCACCAAACTATAAAGCTTTCCAATCGGAGGTTCTTGCTTACAAGCTGTAACACCACCAAAAAATAAAAATAAAATCTGCTCAGAGTAGGGAACCCTTCTGTCCTGGCCTTGGGGGGCCTTGCCTGTGGGCAACCACCTGACAGCATGCGAAGCTTTGCCTGGTTTGGCTGAGGCCAGCAATTGACATTTGGGGCACTATCCACCTAGTGAAGTGGAGTTATCAAAAGGTGGGAGGGAGACCTGTCAGGCTCCTTTCCCTTTTCCCCTTAATCTCCTTGTCCCTGAAAGTAATCGTCCTGTCTTACTCATCTGGGCCAAGGCAAGTTCTCTGAGGCTAAACCTGGGAGCCATTCCTGGAAGGCGCTCCTATCACCAGCACCCGGGGGACCTGTTTGCTGGGGGTAGAGGCCAGGATAGGGGAGAAAGCATGGCCTCCCTCCCTCAAGCCAGCCTCTTATAGGCCTGCCCAAACATCTCCCTCCTGTTGAAGATGTGAAACGTGAATCTGTTATAAAGGTAGATAGTTAAATGCAAGTCTGGTAGGCTCTGTAAATAACGTGCCAATCTGCACGCGTATCAGTGCGGGGGGCGGGGGAGGGCTCTGCTGTATTGTATGTTTGTCAGATCTATATCCTAAATTTCTTCTCATACTTCTAAATTTATCATCAAGCCATGTTCTGTGTAGGCAGTACAATTTCTGTGTTTAAAAGACAACTGAGAATTGACTGTTGCTGGTAGACAAGAAATGGGACTGAGTAATTTTAAGAGTATTCATTATTCTTTTTCTGAAAGTCAGGGAGACACTAGCTTTGACGCTGAGATTAATAAAGAGATGTGGGTTTTTGTTTTCTCCTTTGTTTAGATTCCTTGACTAAAACTTTCACTTCACTGAATTTGAGTTTGGGTAACATTTTTCTTTCCTTGTGGCTGGTAGTTTTGTCAGAGTACCTGTAACTTATGTCAGAGTGTAGACTGGCGTGCTCTGGAGTGTCAGGATACTTAACCGGGGACATGTTGGGGAGTTTGTGGATATTATTCAGAGGATCCAAGAATTAGGGAACATTATCTTTATTTTTCTAAAAGCTAGATTTTGAAATCCAGTTTCTAAATTCAGTCTGAAATTCAGTCTGTAACAAAGACACAGACAGTCAATGCTAATACCAGTCAGACATTTTTATAACATGCTCCAGTTGTTGGAGACATCTCAAAATATTACTTATGTTCATCACTATTTCTATTACAGATTTGTTTCTTAACATTTTGATATCTATTTCAAAGTCATTGGCATCCTTTGTAATTCTGTGTACACAATCATTACTTAGAAGAATCTTATGCTCTTCCTCGTATGTGTTCTCTCTGCCTGTTGACACCTTTGTCTCTTCTGCAGCATCAGCCACTACGTGATTGTCATGTGCATGACCATTGTTCTGGTGTTTCTCAACGGCCTGGCCCAGCTGCTTACCACAAAGAAACTCAGACTGCATGGCCAACCTAAAAGCCACCTCATATGATGTCACCGAAGCATCCTTCCGCATCTGGGTCCTGTTTCTCATTCTCCTTTGAAATTAAAAGCTTATCAAGGATTCAGAAGGAAGATGGGTTTTGATGTGTGGTACATTCTGCTCCTATAAAGAAAATTACACGTGGAATTCTGAACTTACAGGTTGTCTGGAATAAAGGAGCTTCCATTTTCTTTAGTTTCTGCATGTGTTAAATTTAAATAGTGATTATGTCTGTGGAAAGCCCGGTAAAGCATTCTGCAGGTTCATGTTTTCCCTTGAGCTGGCAGCTCTTCTTTCTGACAGTTCAGAGCACCTGTAACCATCTGGTCCCCAACCTTACGGCTCCCTGTATCAGCAGAGGAGAAGCGCTCCTGGGGGGGCCTCCCCATCACTTCCCGAACCAGTGCAAGGGCTGAACCTGATCGAAATCTCCAAGTGGCACCATCAATATTTATCAAGTCTCAGAACTGGTTTTGCAGATAATTCAAACTACTAAACAGTAACACCAGGAAAACTATCAGGATGTGTTATTTAAATTTACTAAAGCTTCCCTAGAAAACAATGTTTGCAGGTGTTTGTAATTTTTCTTCAGAATGCAACAATATTATCTTAAGCATCTTAGTGCTGTTTCTAGGCTTTTCAAAGTCAGCCATCTAGATGCAGGTTTGACCTTTACTTTTTTCTTTTTTATTTCTGGATTCTCATGGAATTCCTGGAGATAGAAAAGTAGAAAATGCTTGGTGTTCATGTGTTATCCATTGCGGGGGAGGGGGATGCATAGAAGGATTTGTTTTTAATTATAGATTCAGTATTTGTTAACCCCATAGCTTTTACCATGTATTGTTTCGACAGAATTCTTTAAATCCATGGTTAAACTTTCTGACAATATCATACGAATCAGAGTTAAAATTGCTTTTCTTTCTGTTTGTGAGATTCTAGCCCAAAGGCCTAAAGTCATCTAATTAAATTTAAATTTCTATTTGTAAACTAATTCTTATGGACAGAATATTTTGAGAGTAATTTTTATTTGGCTTTTTCATCAAGGGATCTTTGCATGTCACTGTAGAGTTGGCCTTTTGTTCATGGTCTATCAGTAGATTTTGGCTAGTACTAAGTTACACTGGTCTGAGTCCTATTTTTAAAAAATAATTGCTTTTGAATTAAGTTGTAGCATTTCTAACTCACATTAATGATGAGGCCCTCTGCAAATAAAGTTTTCAGATTGGCAGGTTAGTGAACGAACACAATTTAGAAGATTCAAAAATCAGTTTGGCAATATGGACTTTCTTCATTTCTGTTTATGATGAAGTATAATTATAATTTATTTATGATAGTACTTCATGGTATACCAGCAAAAGCATTACAGTATAAAAGGAAAGAAAGGTGTATTTTTGTCATTGTAAGACCTCATGCCTCGGTTTGCACTGTAAAATCTAGGGGGACCACTGAGGCGTGTCGGTGGCAGACAGTGACATTGGCAGAGAACCACCAACTTCCTCATTGTCTCAAAGGATTTTTAATCAGTTTTTCCACAGCTCAGAGAAAATGGACTTTATAAACACTTAACTCTTTTTATATCATTTTTGCCTTTTCCTTTTTCCAGATTTTCAGAGGAATTAATGAATACTTTATTACAACATTGTAAAAGGTGCTCAGTGCTTTATCTTTATTTTGCTATTCACAATATATCTTTGTCTTCATATTGTTTTGAGTCAGAGTGAGTTTACAAAGCAGGAGTTCACGCCTGCAGCCACAGGCTTGCCTTGCTGCACTGTCTGGACCCCTCAGAATCCCCAGCGTCTGCCAGACGGGCCTTTTCTGTTGCTCAGCTTATCAAATATTTTAAAGTGTTTTGAAATGCTTATTTTTGTATTGAATAAAAGAAAAAATAAAGAAGAGATAAGTAAAATGTATTTCTGTTTAAGGCATTTACATTTTCATTTTGACTATGAGTACCAGATTTCCAAAATAAGACTTACACATTTGCCGAATAACACTCTTTAAGTTAGGAATTGCTGTAAGAATTAAGTGGGTGTATCCAGTTAGGAAAATATTGAACCACAAAAAAGCCGTGCTGTGTCCCATGCACCGAGACACAATCTTGGAGGACACCCGAAGGACTTAGGAAGGTAACTGCAGCCTGTCCATAACTTACCAAGTAGATGACATAATAGAAAGGGTTCTCTGGTCGAATACATTTGAGAAACATTGGGTCAAAGTTAAACAGGAGTCTTTATGGTAGTACTTAGGGATTTAACTTGGTATATGCATTGAGATAGCAGTATGCCCAAAATGCCCACTTGCTTGACCACAGACCCTACCTCAAAGTCTCCCTTCCAACTGGTAAACACTTCTGAAATGTCCCCATATACTTACTTTGCACTTAAATCCCCAGTTTGTCATACTGTTTTGAAAAAGGCTGTTGTGTGCTTAATTGAATCTTGTTTTCCTGAGAGCTGGAAAACTGTTTTCATTTTTACCCTTAATGTGGGAAAACTTTAAAATGTACTAGCAAGTTTCCCTGCCTCTCTCTAAATTATGCCTGTTCTCATCTGGTCGTTCCTGTGGGAACCTTCAATACATCCTCAGCAGCCCTGTTAGAATTTGTGCCAGGCATTGTTCTGCTTTATAAATATTAACCTATTTCACCCCTGTAACCTGTGAAGGAGATTATACCATTTTACAGATGGGAAAACTGAAACACAGGACGATTATAAATAACTTGCCCAAGATTCCCACCACTAGTTAGGAGGCTTTCAAAAAAACACACAAAAAAACACATTAATAGTTTACCCCTAACATTCTATTCTGGAATCAGCACAAGAGCATTTGTGGGTTTTTGCTTCTGAAAATGTAGTCACTGTGCCTAAGCAGCTGATGTGAAAACTAGACTTCTCAGCTGTGTGCGGGTAACCAAGTATAAATGGTATAACTAGGAAATATACTTTTGAAGTTGCCTACGTGTATACAAATGGCATGGGGCACTCTGGCACCAAGTCCTTAACATTCATTTTGAGGCATAATGTCAGCTGTCTCCAAATGGCACATAAAGCAAAAAGAAGTGTTTCCTTCCTTTTGAAAGGAAGTGAATATTGGCTGTCTGTTTTTAAGCACTTGGAAGTTTTTTAAAGACCTAGATGCCCAGAGTACACTTAGTATAGTGGCTTGAATGGTACACCCCCAAAAAGATATGTCCACATCCTAACCCCAGAACCTGTGAATGTGACCTTATTTGGAAAAAAGGTCATTGCATATATAATTAAGTTAAGGGCCTTGAAATGAGGTTGTCCTGGATTATCCAGGTGGGTCATAAATCCAATGACAAGTGTCCTAATGAGAGAGAGAAGAGGAGAATATACAGACGCAGAAACGGCCATGTGGTGGTGAAGGCAGAGATGGGAGTGATGCTGCCACAAGCCAAGGAGCATGGAGCCACCAGAAGCTGGAAGAGGAGGAAGGATCCTCCCCCTAGAGCCTTTGGAGGGACCGCAGCCTGCCACTACCTTGCCCTAGGACTTCTGGCCTGGGACTGTGAGAGGATACATTTCCATTGTTTTAAGCTACCCAACTTATGATAATTTCTTGAGCAGTCCTTTTTTTTAAATTGATTTTGAGAGAGAGAGAGAGAGACATCAAGCATTGATTTGTTGTGCCACTTATCTATGCTTTCATCGGTTGCTTCTTGTTTGTGCCCTGACCGAGGATCAAACCCAAAACTTCGGTGTATCGGGACACATTCTAACCAACTGAGCTACCTGACCAGGACCAATAATGTCTTATGACAGTTCTAGGAAGCACGCATTTGGGGAGATGGATGTTCAGAATCATCAGCTACGTGCTGATGGCATGCCAACCTCATCATTCTAGGTCACGAATTTTAGTACCCTAGTTCAATTCACCTTGCCCTGTGAATATAAAAATATTTGCACATAAACCCGAAGGTAGTTAATTACTCTTTCATGTCTCCATTGCTGATGATTTGGCTTTTCTGGAACATTCTTGCCATATTTTCCTGGAAGTAGTAAAGAAGTCCTTACTATTTTCCCTTCAATATTTTTGGTATCTATGTGTCAGGACTTGAAATGAGAAAGTTGAAAGCTTGTGTGAAGTCTGGTTGTCGTTAATGTTGCCCTGAGGGGCCTGCTTGAGAAGAGCCACCCTCCCCACCGCTGCCACATCCCTGGCCTCGTCCAGACTGCGGAGGAACTTTCCCACAGCAGCCCTGCACACGAGTCCTCCCAGTGTTGATCCAGACTTGGCAGAGATTAGACGTGCCACCGCAGGCCGTGACAGGGCCTGGCACTCTCACAGGAACATTCCCTGGGCCTGGAGTGAAGCCTTCCTTTGTTAAGCTGTGAGTCTTGTATAATGTTAACTGACATTCTGCTTTATAAGATCTTATCTCATGTCAGTCTGCTGGCGGCAGCTGCTGTCCTAATGCTTCCAGGACCTCGGAGGCTGACCAAACTCACCGGGGTCTGAGATGGAAGAATAATGAGGTGAGGGCCTGTTAGCCGTCCCCTGGGTCTCTGCATTTGAGAGCTTGTGTGATGGGCTCCCTGGTCCCCGTCATTTACCCGGTGGACCTGCTCCTCCAGGAGGCTGCTGACTCAGAGACAGAGCTGGCTTCCTGTGTTCAGCCCAGTGCAGTGAACACTGGTGTGACCTGCAGATGTGCGACTCCTGTTGCTGCATTGGCTGTCTAACTAAAGGCCAGTCAGTGCCTTTTCCTGCAAAGGACTCTGCCCTCTCTCCCCATTCCTGGTTGTTCCTCCCCTACTCCCATCCCCCAGCTGTTGTGACTGGCAATTTGTAGCTCTGGCCTTGCTCTTGAAAATATCTTGAGGTGCAGCAGTCACCAGTACCAACATCCCATTCCCCACCTCATCAAATTCAACTTTTGCAGATTGAGCCAGGTCAACTGGCTGTCAACAGAGCAATGCATTTTCCTTCAAGAAAAGTCACTTCCTTCCATGCATTTACTATCCTTCCCTCCCTCCCTCTTTCTGTAGCTCCCTCCATTGAGCCCTTGTGTGTCCCCTCTGAGGTTGGATTAAGTGACTTTACAATCACCCTCTCAGGCTCTGCAGGTGGACAGAGGAGTTAGAGCATGAGAAGAGAGGGGGGGGATCCAATGGGTTCCCTGGGCCAGTTTACCCGAAAGGGTCTGAAAAAAATGAAAAATGGTAAAATGAAAAATGGTCTAAAGCCATCAGAAGAATGGACGTTCCTCTACTTCCTCCAGTGCTGCTTTCTGCTCTTTCCTGTCCCAATCAAAAGTGTGTGACTCACGTCTACTGATCTTAGCAAGGTCACCAGCAGCCCACGTGGCCCCACCAGTGGCTGTCCCTGTCTGTGTGGTGCTTGACCTCCCCGTAGCCTTTGCCTCTGGCCACCATCTGGAGCTGTATGTTGGTGCTGTCTGCACATGGAGAGACCATGGCGCTCATCTCCTGATCCCAAAGACAGGCACATTGACTTGCTTTTTGGGGAATGGGATATGTTGCTTTCAATGAAGGTGATTCTCCTTTCTCCTTCTGAGAGTAACTTCCTTAGTTGGGAAGCAAACCCCAAACATTAGCCTTGTTTGCTCCATATTCTAAGGAGCTAAGAAAAGAGAATCAAACGGTCTACAAGGAACAGTGGCATCACTTACTTTGGAAACTCCAGTGACTTTGTAGGTTCTCATATAGACCATTGTCAAAATGGCTCAGAATTCTTATCCTTTATTGCACAATGCTTTTCAGTTTGAATAATTAGAATCATGATATAGCCAAGGAAGAGTATAAACTTGTTCTGAAACTTTTGAGCAGAAAATTCCTGAAGCTTTGTCAAGGCTATTTTTTGCCTGCTACTACCACCTAAATAATTGCATTTCCTTTAACTAAAATATTTGTAAAGTCCTTTAATTTTTTCTGTTTCTTTTTAGAGCAGATGGTCTAGATGGTCTAAGCCTGCCCAAGGATGGTTTGATTTATGCTTTCAGACTTGCGACACCTTAGGAGGAGAATCAAGCCCGTGGAATCCCTTTGTTGTATTGATGCTGCTTTGAATCTCTGCTGTCACCACTGGCAGAGAGACACCCCCAGGAGGACCAGGTCCGTAAAGGCAGGTGGCACCTTGTCAGGTATTGTCATCGCCATCATTTCTATTAGTAGAAACAGGGGGCAAGAGTTGGAATTGACTCTCCCAGCCGTTCAGCAGGATCCCTGTGGATTGTAGACTCGTGGGAGCAACAGCCTGGGGAGCACAGACTAAGTAATGCTATTGGAAATGTAATATGTGCTGTTGTGGGGAAAGTGCATTTAAATAGAAATAACTATGACCTTACTGTCTTTTTAAAAGCTCGTCCCTCATCCCTCGGGGAAAATCCTTCTCAGGCCACACTGTCTGCACATTTGCAGTAGTTATGGCTCCACACCGGTCTGTGATGACAAGGGTGTCACCTCCTTCTTACTTCTCTGGCAACTTCTGATGGGCCTGTCAAGTCTCCAAAGCAAATTCCTTCTGGAATGTCTTAGGACAGTGGCAGTAACAGAGCCAGAGCGATGGAGGCTGTTGGGATTCTCCATGTAAGGAGAGTATATTGGGTACGTTTTGAAGCAATAATAGACATTTTAAAAGTAGATTCCTCTTCAACTAGAAAGGTTTGGTTGTTTCTCTCTGCTCTTGTGCTGGTACTATATAAAATCATTGGTTAGTTCTTGGGGCCATGCAGTCTGTAGTAATGAGACATGAAATTTTTCACCTGCTTCTGAAATTCCAGGAGGGCTCAGATTGCTTAAATGTGTACCTTCTGTAGAATTGATCATCCTGGGTCTTGTTCACATGGGCTGTTCAGAACTTTCCTTTTTCTGGGGGAAAGGTTCCAACAAAGGGGAAGATGGGCACATCGCAGTGAAGTTGGGGATGATGTAGGGAAGGTGCTTGCCTATCAGTCTAGCCTGGGGAACAAAGATCATCGGCTGGGGGGCAGGGGGAGGCAGGGCCACTGCAAGCCCAAAAAATCCTGAAGGCTTAATTGGTTATGCTCCTAGACAAAGAATCCTCTCTCTCTCTCTCTCTCTCTCTCTCTCTCTCTCTCTCTCCCCCACACACACACACACTCAATGGACTACAGCTGGGAACACTGAGTTAGCCAGATGCTGGACTGAATGTGCAAACATGGAGCGGAAACTCAGGGCAGTGGCTGTAATCCCAGCCCTGCTGAAGACAAATAGGGCTTTTTCAATGGTGGATGGAGGGAGGTGGAACCTTGGAAGGGAAACCCCTTAATGTTGCCGCATCAATAAGCTTTCCATGATTCCTCATCCTCCCGTGGGGACCTCAGGAAATTCTTATTTCTGTGGCACCTCAAGAGGCCCTCTTCTACCAGCAACAGGTAGGGTCTCAGAGGACTCCCCACTGATAACACTTTCAGCACCAAGTTTGTGGTATTTGTTACAGCAGCTCCTGGAAACCAATACAACGTTTACCATTTCCTCTACAGCAACCCTGCTTCAGAGCCCCGTCGTCTCTTGCTTGGATTGCAGCAATAGCCTCCTGTCTAACTCGTCTCCCTGCTTCTGGCCTTGCCCCACTCCCTGAGGTCTTGTTTCAACACTGCAGCCAGAGGGACCCTTTAAAAATATAAGTCAAATCACATTACTTCTTTTTCAAAAATGCTTCAGGTGCTTCCCATCTCATATAGAGTAATACCCACCATTCTCAGACAGAGCCTACTTCATTTGGCACCTTTTTACTTGTCTGACTTTACCTCCGACATGCCACTGTAGTAACAGTAGCTTCCTTGATGTTCCTTAAGCACACTAGCTATGTCCTGTCTCAGGACCTTGCACTTGCTATTCCATCTGCTTGCATTGATTGCTCTCCCCTCCCTCCCATAGCCACATGGCTTATTCCTTCACCTGACAGATAGCCACATGGCTTATTGCTTCACCTGAGAGATGAGACCTTCTTTGACACTTTTCAAAATACCAACCCTCCAACCTCACTCACTGGTATGTCCTAGTCATCTGTTGCCCAGGGCAGGCCTTTAGCTGTAATCTTACTTCCCCGTCCTAACTAACTTAGGTAGGGCTGCAAAAGCCCCGAAGTAAGGAAACACAGAATTTAGAAATATATATAAGGAGTAATCTCGCCGTATAAGTTGTTCAGGCTTTGGATCTTCGAATCCCCTGAGCCAGCAGCGCTGCTTTAAATAAAGGGTTTTTCCTGAATCTCCGGGTACTCGCTGTGTATTTTCTGGTCGCCTGGTAAATTCTGCACCGCTTCCTACTTCCTCCATGGTGCACATTAACTTCTGACATATGTTTTCTTGCTTGGCTGTTCAATTGTCTATCCTCCCTGTGAGGACAGGAATAGCTGAGGTTTTTTTCACTGTTGTGTTCCCAGTGGCTAGAAAGGGCTATGGCACATAATGGACGCTGAAGAATATTTGCTGAAGAATAAATGAACCCAGCATCCCAAGTTAGTTTTATATGTACACACATTTTACTCCATTAACACTTGGAGTGCGGGAAACGAGTTAAGTCGGCTCGCGTGAATTGCGCGTACTCCGCGGGAGCGGTCTTTAACTCGGTTCATATAGATTTGCGGTGGAGTGCGGGAAACGTGTAAACTCGGGCCGATTGTAACTGCGTATTACCAAATATTTGTTTGTAATCCACCCTTTTGGTGGATGGAACAAAACCAAAAGACAGAGCCATCTTATATTTTGGCGGGAAATTCACCCGCACTCCAAGCTCATGCACTGAATTGTAATAAGCAATCACTGAACTCATTCCTTGATTTCATTCATATTCTCTGGAGACAGGATGCTTCCCCTTTTCCAAATGTCACTCTGGTGAGCCACCGAACCAAATGTTGGCTTCAGTTGTGATGGAAGTAACAGGACTCTCACGCATTCCAGAAAGGGAGGCCTTCTCTCCATCTCCGGGTTTCCCGTTCCCCTATCCAGTGGGAACTCGATATTCCTTTAAAGGGCATTTCCTATCTAACAGTCTTTGACCCCAGCTGTGGGTTTAATAAGCTACATCTGTCTCATTCATCCCCCAGCTCTGTGGTCCATCTCTTCTAAATCTTCCTCTCCCCAGTCACTTCCTGTCACAGCAACCACTTCAGAATTAAACTCCAATTCTAAAACAAATGAAGCAAGGCAGGAAGGCGGAAATGAATCACAGGCATATGGGAACAGTTTTGTTTGAAAGCATGATCAGCAGTCTTTGCAAACAAGCTGTGGCCATATGTAGGGGGAGGGTGCGGGGGAGTGTTTAAAATATAAGTGATAAACTGTGATAAATGTCTAAATTATAAAGAGAAAGCTCACTAATGATTGGCTTGGCTATAAGAAGTGATACCTTGAAGCTATCACTAAGGAGAAAAGATATTGCTGTATCTTCTTTTTTTAAATCAAAAGACCCCTCAGGGGTACCCTGTGGTGAATTAAAATTCTTTTCATTTTTTTAAGAAACCTGGTTTAATTTAAGAGAGGAAGGGAGAGGGAGAGAGAGAGAGAGAAACATCAATGATGAGAGAGAATCATTGATCTCCTGCCTCTTGCATATCCCCTATTGAGGATCGAGCAGGCAAATTGGGCAAGTGCCCTGACCAGGAATTGAACCATGACTTCCTGGTTCAGAGGTCAGTGTTCAACCACTGAGCAACACTGGTTGGGCTGAATTAAAATTCTTGCTATGTATCAGCAAAGAAACTATGGACAGTTGGTTGAGACTTGTTTCTTGGCTAAAACCTAGGTCACTTGAATTCAAATGTATTGGTATAACCAATAGAAATTTATTCTTAGAAACAGATCTATTGCCTCTAAGTTCTCATCCCTAAGGAAGAAAAAAAAAGCGCGTGCCCGTGAGTGTGTGTGTGTGTGTGTGTGTGTGTGTCTTTCATTGACTGACCCACTTAATACTATTTATTTAGTTCTGACCAAGCCCCAAGCACAGTGCTAAGCACTGGGTGTTCGATGGTGAGCAAAAATCCTGCATATTAGGTGGTAAGCAAAAATCATTACAGTTCCTCCCTCATGGACTGTACAGTCCAAGGGGGACATAGTAATTAAATAGTCATGCAAACAAATGAAAAATAACAGCTGTGGTTTGTGCTACCAAGGAGAGCAGCAGTCTGTGATTCTGTGATGGGTGGATGCCTGACCTAGTCTGGGGAATCAGGAAGGGCTTCCCTGAGGTGATGATTGACTTGCAGCTGGGAGAGTAGTCATTTAAGAGGGGACATGGGGGTGCACAGACAGTTCAGGGCTGAAGGGGTGATGCATGCAAAGGCCCCAGGGCAGGCAGGGTTGCAATATATTCAATACAAAAGAAGAGAATGAAGGACAGTGCCTCTGGAGCTTGGTGGTGAGAAGTCAAGAGACAGGAAAGAGAGGTAGTAAGGGGCATGACCACCCAGTGCCTTATCGATTATGCTAAGGGTTTTAGTTTTACTGTCAAGAAGAAGCATTGGAAGCGGGGATGGATAGTTAATCAAGAGCATGTTCCCCCTAGGCTTTCTCCTCTACCCCTCCGTTCAGGGTCACAGAAAACGTGCTGGAGGGAGGTACACGTGGTAACAATTGGTTCAGGGGACTCAATCTCTCATTTGACCAATGAGTGATTATTACGTGGCCAGCACTGTTCTAGGTCCAAGGGAATGGAAGATGAACCAGAATATTACTGATCTCCCCTCCTAGGTTTACAGTCTAGGTAAGAGGCAACATGCATTGTAGTCACATGAATAAATAATTAATTGCCATTGACATAAAGCAACAAAAGAAAAGTATAGCAATAACCGTGGGTGGGAGTGGGTGGGGAAGCCTCAAGGAAGGTTTCTACTGAAGGCAAAGCTGACTAAATATTATTGGGAGGGTTATTGGAAGGCCACTGGGAGCTTCCATTAGGTTCCTGTTTTCTACCCCCACCCCTTACTTCATTCGGTGACCTTGACTCATGCCTTCTTCCTCTGTATATAAACAGCAGTGAGTGGTAGCAAGGTTCAGTGTTCTCTGGCAGAAACACAAAAGCCCCCTTGTTCGGAGTGGCATGGCTGTGAGGCATATGTGGTGATAAATGAAACAGTGAACTACCACGTCACTGGGCAGCTCTGATGTTGTTCTGTGTC